GCCATTTTCCTCCTGCGGCGCGCGGGGAGGGACCGGGGGCGCACGGCCGGCTAGCCGGGGTCCCGGGGTGGTCGGCTCGGCCTCGCCGCGACCAGGGACTGGCCCGCAGCGTTCTCGATCGCGCTGGACGCCGGCTGGCTTTCCAGTGGCCTCTCCGCAGTGCAGAATGGTTGCAGTGAAAGATGGGCAGCCCTGAAGTCAAAGCGCTGTTGCTTTTTCCCACGCAGGCTACTTGTCCGTTTCCCTCCCACGGCAGCCTGCATTCATAAAAACACGGAGGCTTGGCTGAAAGTAATTGTGAGCTAGCGTGGCCAAGGAAGGTCAGAGTCTGCATGCCACTGCGTGTTTCGGTAATGCTCCTTGGGGAACGAGTTTTCACTTCAACAAGTCTCCTACTTGTATCTGGAAACTTAGGTCAACAGTTTGTTCTGTTTCCCCTTGTATTTTAGGATCGACCCATACGGATTTGAAAGGCCTGAAGACTTTGATTATGCATCTTACGAGGAGTTTTTTTCCACCTATCTGGTAATACTCACTAGAAGAGCCATAAAATGGTCTAAACTTTTAACAGGAAGTAGTCGTGTCCAGAAAAGTATGAAAGGTAAGTCGGAAGTTTAATCCATTTACTCATTCCACAAACACATCTGCCGGACGAAAAGCCAAGTGCCTGCAAGTGCTACTGAAGAAAACCTGCTCATTAAATACCTTCATTGGAGAGAGCACGGGTTGGTTGAACTTTGGGCATGTGTATTTTCAGGGCTGTGCCCAAGATCTTAAAGTTACAAGGTATCAGATCTGCCAGAGCCTTCTCCCTGGGTGGCGCAAAGCTAATGGAACTCCCAGCTTCTTAAGGGGGATAAGTAATGTCTGTATTCGTTATCGGGTCTCTTAGGGAACTAAGAAAGGAACGTGGGCATGCCCTACTCTGGTCTTAAGAGTTTTGAACTCTGTTAGAACTTGCACTGCTTGTAAGGAACGGTCTGTTCTTTTTTTCACTTTAGAGTGGGCCTTCCTGCTAGATAGGTGGGCGCATAGGGCCATATCGGGATTGAGGAGAAAGCTGTTGGTGGGCAACTGGGTAAAGTTGTTAGGCTGTGGCTTTGTCAAAGTGCATCACCAGCCTTGTCTCCTGAGGGGCATCTGAGTCAATTCCAACTACCAACCCTTCAGCTAAACATCTGAGTGACCTGGAGACTCCTGGTGGCATACTGGGTTACAAGGAAGGCTTTTAACCTCGAGATGTGCAGTTTGAAACCACCAGCCACTCCAAGAGAGAAAGACGAGGCTTTCATTCACTTTCAATTAGTCTCAGAAACCCACAGGAGCAATTCTACCCGGACATAGAGGGTTGCTATGATCAGAATGGACTCCATGACAGTGCGTTTTGAGGGACTCCTAATTGACTTTCTGTTTTATTCCTCAAAATAAAATTTGGTAAAACCCCCAAATAGCCAACTACATTGCCCTTGAGTCTGTTAAGAAATAGAACCTGCTCCATAGGTTTTCTGAGACTAAATCCAAATGAAAGCAGACAGCCTCATTCTTCTCCTGCAGAGCCGCTTGGTGGGTTTGAACAGTTGACTTTATGGCTCTTCACCCAACACTGAACTCACTGCCCCTGTCACCCAAGCCCACAGCCATTGACTTGATGATACCAACTCACAGAGATCCAGTCTAGGGTTTCAGAAACTAAATCTTTACAGGAGCCGGCAGTCTTTTTTCTCCCGTGGAGAGGCTGATGGTTTTGAACCACCCACCTTTTGATGAGCAGCACAAATCTTAGCCCACAGCCCCACCAGAGTTCATTTAGTTTGGCAAGACTCTATGTATGCTGTCATGTGACAAAACCCTCTCTGTTTCCCTTGGAATAAGAGCCAAAGTCCTTCCCCCACCTACAAGATCCTGCATGGTCCATGCTAGGCCTCTCTGACCTCATTTCCTGCTCTCTTAACCTCCTGACTTCCTGGCTATTCCTGGAGCTAACCCTGGTCTGCTCCCATCTCAGGATCATTGCACTGGCTGCCCTCCCAACTGGAGCTCTTTGCCCCCAGTCAATTTCATGAGGCCTTTCCTGCACACCTGTTGAAAACTGCACCTCCCTCCCACCCTACATCCGCATACCTCCTACCCTCCTGGTTTTCTCATCATTACTGCATAACATGTTGAGATAGTTAAAGTTTATTGTGTCAACCTGGGGTGAGGTTAATTGAAGGGCGGAGAGATAAATGGCTCTGTGAGGTTAATTGTAGGGCGGAGAGATAAATGGCTCTGTGAGCCTCGACTTTCCTCTTTCGAGTTCTTAGGTCTCTTGCTTTGTGATGGTCGGACCAGGGTGCAGCTGCCTTAGCCAGTTCCCTGCTTCAGCTGGCAAGGCTGACTTCCTGCAAGACATCCCCAGGGAGAAGCCACATGGACCTATCCCGATGCAGCCCTGGGTGCTGGAGCAGTAGTGTGGAGACCCCTGCTAGCGCTGAGATGCTTGCACATTCACTGATTTGGCTTTCCTCCTGCAGTCGGCGTCATAGTGTGTGTTTTGTGAAATGGAGGACTTTGTGGATTGGTGTTGGACATAAGGGTTAACTGTTGGACTTGTGGGCTTGGGCAGCACTGAGTTGGGATGTTTTCTTGATGTGCACTTAACCTAAGGTGACCAGATTTTAACATTGGTAAAGCGGGACACCATTGATAAAACTCATATCCTGGAGAAATAGCCACATGGCAGCTGAAAACTATGCCCTAGCTTGTCGTGTATTCTTTCCAAAAATCAGGACTTTTGTAAAATGCCGCGGGATGTGGGAAAAATAGTTAAAATTTGGGACTGTCCCCCCAAAAGCAGGACGTCTGGTCACCTTAATTTAACCTTTATATAAAACTCTCTCTTACACATGAATTTCTGTGGATCTGTTTCTCTAAAGTACCCAGATTAACACACACAGTATGGATCTTTCTTATTGCGTGCATTGTTTCTCTTACTGGAATCGGAGACTGCTCTCTCCCTGCCAGAGTCTGTTTCATTGAATCTCCAGCACCTGGAACAGTGCTTAACTGGGATAATGATTTAAATATTTGTTATGTGAATGAATGAAATGTTTGCCTACAGCATTCCAGGCAGTGTCCCAGATACATAGATGGGGAATTCAAGCATTTCCCTGCAGTGTGGCAAGGCTGTGGTAGCAGAAGGTAGCAGAAAACAGGGGGACTAACATTTTAACTGAGAGAACACGTTCACAGAGGTTAGAGGTGGTTCCGAGGTTGAATTCTGACCTTCCAAGTAAAGAAACCAGGTTTAATTCTTGGCCAGTGCCATCCATGCAACAGCCACCGCCACTGGTCCGCGGAGGCATGTGTGTTGCTATGATACTGAACAGGCTTCAGCAAAGCTTCCAGATTAAGAAAGATTTAGGAAGAAAGGTTTAGTAATCTCCTTCTGAAAACCAGCCACTGAAAAGCCCTATGAATCACAGTAGTCTGGTTGCCAATGGATCATGGTGGTGGATGGCCCAGGACCAAGCATCCTGTCCTTTCATTGTTCATTGGGTGGCCAAGAGTCAAGGTGACTGGGCAGCATCTAGTAATAATGGCAAAGAGGCAGGTGCAGTGGTCCCAGCAGTAAGTGAGCAGAGTTGGATGGCCTCAGGATGGGGTGTGGCATGGGAGAGGGGTGACGGAAGCCAAAGGGCTGTGTGTTTGCTCAGTATCCGTCATGTTTAAGCAGAGAAAAAGCAGACTCGGTGTATTTTGCATAATGAGAGCTGCGTGATAAACTTTTCCTTTTAAAAGGACCATTTTGATTCGTGAATAGGACCCGGAGTGGTGTCTCGCACATGTTGTGAGGTGCCACCAAGTGGGTTCTGACTCGCAGTGACCCTGCGTACAGCAGAATGAAACACCACCGGGCCCTGGCACACACAATTGTTGCTATGTTTAAGCCCATTGTTGCAGCCACTGTGTCAATCTATCTTCCTCTTTTTTGAGGCCCCAGTAATTTAGCAAGCATCACGTACTTCTCCAGACACCGGTCTCTACATGTCCAAAGTGTGTGAGACAAGTCTCCCCTCCCTGGCCTCGAAGGAGCATGCTGGCTGTATTTTTCCCATGGCAGATTTGTTGGTTCTTTTAGCAGTCCATTTGTTGGTTCTTTTGCTTCACTCGCACCATAATTCAAACACATTAGTTCTTCAGTCTTCCTTATCCGATACCCAGTTTTCCACATGCTTACGAGGTGATTAAAAGTACCTTGGCTTGGGTCAGGCACAAAGTAACATCCTTGCTGTTCAACACCTTAAAGAGGTCTGACCTGTAACCACTACACCACCAGCGACAGGAGTGAAGAGGTCTTGGGCAGCAGATGTACCCAACGCCAGGTACCATCTGATCTCTTGACAGCTGCTTCTATGAGCATTGATTGTGGATCCAAGCAAGACAAAATCCTTGACACCTTCAATCTTTTCTGGGTGTCTCGTGGTGTTACCTATTGGTCCAGTTGTGAGGGGTCTTGGGAGACCTGTTGGTGGAGTTGAATGTCAAGGGGCTGGAGAGAGGCAGGTGGCCCCCAGACTTGCTGGCTAGTGGTGTGAGACTTGAGAAGGAGAATGGTGGTCTTGTGCCCTTCACCTTCTGAAATGGCCCTTGCCTCTTTGGACAGAACCCTCTCTCCTAAGAGCATTGACAGCTGGGAAGTGAACCAGCGCACATACCATTTTGGCTGTGCGACACACTGGTGATAATCACATTTCATAAGATCATAGGATGGGAGGTGACCTCAGGTTGGTCTTTTTCCGCTCTATATCCGGGCCCCTGAAGCTAATATGGCATGTTCTCTTTATGCATGTTTTAACACCTTTCCAGCTGAACGCCAACCTTTGTTTTTCCCATTTGCATTCTTGAGTTAGTTTTGTTGTGGTGAAAGTATCCCTAATCCAATATGCCATCTTAATAATTTCTACATGGATAATTCCATGACTGTGATGGGGGTCTCCCAACAGTGCAACCCTTTCCAACTCACAAATCTTTTCCAAATCATCTCCTCACCCTAGCAGAACCTCTGTGTCCCATAACAGTCTTTGGTTTCTGCATGCTTGTTTGTTTCATAGCCACAGGACCATCCAACAGGCGTCCTCCTGTGACAGACGTATGTCACTCTGCACGAGGTTTTCAAGGTTCATCGCTGTGGTAGTGTGTCAGGACGTCATTTCTCTAACGGCTGTGTTCCCTTGTGTCCACATACCACCTTTTGTTTATCCACCCATCTGCTGGTGGCCATTTAGGTGGTTTCCACCCTTTGTTGTGCAACGCACTTCCGTGGCCGTGAGTGGACAGGTTACTGGACAGGGAGCGTTCGTACCCAGCTCTGCTGGGCACAGAGATAGGCTTGGGAATGCTGTTTCATATGGTGGTTCTCGGTTCCATTTTCTGAGAAACCACTACACGGTTTTCGATAGTAGTTACATCTTTTTGCTTTATTCTTAAAAGCCAGGTAATCTTTGGATTTTTAATTTACGCATACATGCACATATACAAAATATTGGGGGATATAACATGGAATGAAGATTTTTGTCCGCCCCAGTCCCCAATCCCCAGTCTCCCATCTCCTCCAGAGGG